TGTATATGTATAACGTCTGTAGGGGTATTACGTGTATGATATGCAAGTGTTCATTATCTATTTCAGAGTCATCATGAATGAAGATCAAAAGCAGAAGATCAGACAACGGTATGTCTACCTGGTTAACAACCTGACAGACCCGAGGAGTACAGGGCTTGCTGCACACTTGTACCAAGATGGCGTCATTGAGCTGAGAGATCGTCAGATTGTGGAGAAGGAAAAAGCAACAGAAGACGCCATAAAACACTTGTTAGATGCTGTGATGAACTCTTCACATCAGGGCGCATTTGATTGTTTCCTCAAACTTTTAAAAGAATACGGACAAGACTACCTGGCCAATGTTTTAAGACAAAGTACCAGTTCTGATGGAACAGGTAAACATATAGCCTAATACCGATTGCATTGCAATAGTAAAGTTCTAATTTGTGATGTGTTTACATCCGTATTATTAAATATGGAATATTTTAACCGTTCATAATTTATATGCATAATGTACGGTAGGTCCGGTCATAACTTTCCATTCCAAGCTTTTACGAAAAGGAAGTATAATTTAAGCAATGTTATAGATTGTTATATTATGTAATTAATAATAATTTGAGTAATGTTATAGGGATTCCACAGCTGTATGTAAATTGAGTGGTGAAACATTTCCCCTTCTCTGCAGTAAAATATCACCCTAACTTTTTTTATTTCAGAGAAAACAGGCAAGGGTGATAATTACTGCCAAGAAGTGCAAATGTTTTACCACTCATTTTACATGCATTTATTCATTGTGTTTTATTTAGCATACAGAAGCGTATTACAGTATCAAGAGAATGAGAAATGCTCTCATGTTTCTTTTAACCATATAGCAAATTGATTTATGTATTTTGTACATTACTAAAGTATAGCATTAGTAAGCCTCAGCTAAGTCATTGTGTATTTAAAATCCAGGCTTATGTGACGTGTGTCCAAAAGACAAGAAACACCCTGCCACCTCCGTGTGTTTGGACTGTAACGAGCTCATGTGTTCTTCGTGTGCTGACTATCATAGGAGGACAAGCGTCTCGAAGGAGCACAGACTCAATGAATTAACAGCAGCCCTCACAGACAAATGTCAAGTACACCCATCCCTTTATCTTAAATCCTACTGTCCCCAATGTGACGTCCTTGTCTGTGAGCGATGTATGGTGGACACACACAAAGGACACACAGACGCTTGGAAAGACGCAATAACGACGGCCGAGGACTTGAAATGTAAAGTGAACGGGATTATCGATGAAATCAAAGATATAACTCTCAACAAACCTTCGATAGAAAAAGAAGAACAGACACGACTAGCCGACTTGGACGAGCAAAGACAGCGCGCTAAACAAGCTATTGAGACACGAGTAGACGAGGTTTGCAAATTAGCAAAGGTCTGTGCTGAAAAAACTAAAGAAGAAGTGGACAAAGCATATTTTGGTTTAAAACTTCAGCTGCAAATAACCAATAAAATTAATTCCCTCGAAAAACAACTGAAAGCCTATGAAAATCTGTTAAATGACGCTTCCGTCTCAAGTGTAGTTAAAAATCACGCGGAATGGGAGAGTTCACTAAAGGAAATGTTGGTGACGCATTCCCCCACCTCTCCTGTGCCTGTGCTTAGATTTCAGACCATCACTTGGATAGAAACAGCCATACAGCAGGCAATGGGTGCGGTGGTTATAGGAGAGATCACACCGACATTGATCACACAACACCATCTGCAGTATTCTAAGGACCCGAAAGAATGGCCCATAGCTGTGGACAGCATGCCTGGTGGTGACGTCGTGGTGGGGACAGGGTGTGGAGCTGATGAAACCAAGCGTCGTATCATCATCTGTTCTTCCACAGCAGGAAACGTCAAGAAGGAGATCAAGGTTACTGGACTGAGAGGACTGACAGTACTACGTGACAGTACAATAGCAGCTACTGTTTATGACGGCAGTACACGGGAAGTGAGGATATACACTAAAGACGGTGGTGTGAAATCATCGTTCAAGTACAGCACACCGGGTTGTATTACAGTGAACCACGAAGGTCACCTGGTCGTGATGGATTCTAGAGCAAGCACATGTAATAATGTAATGATATATCGTACTGACGGTACACAGATCAGGGAATTCACTGACACCTCATCGAAACCAGTACAATATTCCAAGCACATAACAACCACCCCCAGTGGTGACGTCATAGTATCAGATCCCAATGACTGCTGTATACGTGTCTACACACCTGAGGGTCAGCTACGGTACACGTACGGTGGGGAGGGCGTCATGGAGTGTTCAGATGCTGTCTGTGTGGATGAAGATGGAACCATATTTATCTCCGACCCCATTGCTGACAACATCCACCAGGTGTCTCCTGCTGGCCAGTTCATGCGATATGTGCTGACAGACAAGGATGGACTGTGGTCACCCAGGGCTGTGTGTATCAACCAGGAAGGGCACCTCGTGGTAGCTCAAGAGGACGGATGGATCAAAACATACAAGAATAAATAACAATCTATGGTGTTATTTACTCCTGGTCTGTAATCACAAATGACTCACAGCCTTCAATATGAAATCTAACGCGTGTATTATAGATAATGTTTACATATCTGATCTGCCTATAATCAAACCTGTGAATGAATATCACATATTGAACTTAAATGTCAGATTTGTATGTTTTTGTTGATATAAAACTGTGAGACCATATCCCACTTCTTTCACTGCTAGAAACTGTAGATGTTTGTCTTATTTCACGCAAATTAAGTTTGATTCTAGGGTTTCAGAAGATATGTGAGTCAAAGCAAAGTCTATAAGTCAAGGAGAATTGTAAAAAAAAAAGATTACTCTTGACAGTGACAGATTGTAGATGTTTTAAATAAGTGTCCTTTATTTAGGAAGACTGAATTTTTAAGCCTTTTAAACTATAAAGTTTAGAATTGACCACGTCCAAATCTTGTCCTTTAAATCCTCTCTCGCCTGAGCGTGCATTTAGTGGTGCGGTCTGTTACTGATAAGGGTAACGATATAAAATATTGATTTTTTGCATTCAGGTAAATAATTAAAGCATCGCTTATTTAGGAATTCATACTTTTCGTACTAATGAATAGCATCATCCAGGCCCCGAATTGTTTAATTTTTTTATGTCATCTATCGTCACTACGTTCGTATCAGCGGTGTGGTTATCACAGTGGAAGTCTGAAATTGACTTTTTGAAATGATTACATCATAGCTATATTTTGATGTGTAATCGAGTTTGTTTTTCTTTATCAATAATACTGATACCCCAACTTTAACAGAGTAGTTTTTTTTTCTTTATTTTAGATAAATACCCATGCTGTTTTAAGGCAGATGGAATATATTTGTATAATTGAATCTCACAAACAAATTAACACATAAATGAATAAGAGTAGATATTAACAAATAAATGAATAAGAGTTAAATAGATCTAGAACGAGAAATAGAGTCACGTGTGACGAGGTTTACAAAGCAAAAGTAGATAAATAAAAGGTTAACATTTTTTTTAGTAAAATTATTATTTTTTCTTTGTCTGTTATTTGATACCCACTTTATTGTACTTAGAAACTAGTTGAAATATCTTTTCATTTGTTTTCCACAAGATAAAGTCAACGTGGTGGCTACCGCGTCGTAGGTTATAATTCAAAGCGAAGTTTTTTTTTTTACTCTGGTGCACCATTTGTATCAAACTGCATGAATACAGAAAGTTATTATTTGGACAGGCGGTGTATAAAAAAAGAAAAAAAAATGGCAGTCCACAAAAGTCTTGTATGAATTTACTATTGTGTAACACTGACGGCCAGGGTAAGGACAATGTGGTAGCGAAGCTAGTTTCACATCTAACACATTCAATATTCCGCCGAACCCGTGCGGTGACGATGGTATAAATGCTGCTATTGTTACGTGTAAAGTGAACATCGCCAGGCTCAGTAAATATCCCTGATGTGATAAATTATTCACGCATGTCAACAAATAATTTCGCTATAATAGTGCATGATTGTATTATAAGCACTGGCATAATTAAGGTAAGGTAAATGTAGTATTTAAATTTTCCAACTGGGGTACAGCATATGAATGTTTGTTTTCATTCTGTTACCGATAAGAACATGATAGATATTTTCAAGTAAATAAATGTTTCTGCTTTGAATTCATTATTTTTTATTTGTATACATAAACATTCCTATTCAACAGATTGGACACTGTAAAACAAAATAGGGAAGAGTAATGTGATGCATGTTACATTGGTTGTATTGTTGTAACACGTTTGGTCTAGTTTGACCCAGATTAAGGATGAAATACCAGTTAGGTCACTGATTGAACTCATCCATATCAGCTATATGATAGATACATCCTATGCACTGACATATTTTTCCCCTACGCATAAAATCCTTGCGTCACTCAGTACAAGTGTTGGAAATTGAATTACAGACTGAGAGTCATACTTTTGTGAAAGGAAATTTTGATATTTTATTTCCCGCCTTCATGTGACCCAGAACAACATCTCCCATGTCACAGATGATGGCCTGTTCTATGCTGAGGATAATTCAGGTTAAGATCCCACTGCAATGCGAACCCATTGTTAAGGTGTTTACGTAGCTATGAGAAGATATGCATTGAGAGTATATTTGATAACCAGGCACGCAGCCAGGGGTGTTCGGGAGAAGGCCTGCTTTGAACCAAAATTTGATCTACACTGTAGGTACATGTACCTTGATATTCCTCAAGTTATATAGAGCCAGGTCGTTCGTTGTTCATTTCAAGGTTAACTGAGAAAATATAATTAGAACTAGAACCAGCAGCGGCGGTTTAGCTTTATTCTTCATGGGTGGGACCGTGTACTTTGTACGTCCCCAGCCACATTTTTGTTGGCGTAATTTCCGAATCGATTATTGTTTTCCATGAAATTTCATGATTTGTCACATTTTTGACCGATTTTAGGAGATATGTTTGCAGATTTGATGTCATTCATGGTAATCGTACTATACTGCCTTACCAAAAAAGTGTCACCCCTAACGCAACGCGTAAAGTGATACAACAGCCAGGTTTCAGTATTTTGTACAATGTTTTCTGGATTGGAGAACGCATCTGTCGCGTCTGTGCGTGGATTCAAAAAGTTCTGTAACGTTTGCGCAGTGATGGCGCGTGAAAAGGTAGCTTGAGGACATTTTGTTTGCAGGGTTATCTGCCATTTACCTATTGCCGGGGATATCTTACACATTCTCAATGAGGTCTTGGTCTACATGTAAGGATTTCTGGTAATTTGGGGGTAGTTTTCGATATGATATAACCACCCTGCTGTTGCGTTGGCTGTACGTGGTGTAGCATTGTAATGCTGAAAACAAAAATGGGTGATCATGGTCCCATAAGATATTTTCTGTACATAATTCGGTAAGTTTCCTTTCCAATACTTGGATGTATGGGTCTGTTTTAAAAGTTCCCGTTGATGAAAGCCAGCTCGCCTACACCATAGTAGCCAATACACCCTATGCATGACTTATGTGGGGTGTGTCCTGACAATCAGAGGGAGGAAATAGAAAAGTTACTTTTTACCAATTGTTCTTTAAACCCTTACGCGTTCATAGTTAAATTCTAAACGCTTCACCTGCTTTGGTCTGAGAACAGTATCAATCCCCAGTTAAAGGCTGGTGTCCCTGCCAGAGTTCTGGTAATACATCTAAGAACAGTATCTATCCCCAGTTAAAGGCTGGTGTCCATGTCAGAGTTCTGGTAATACATCTAAGAACAATATCTATCCCCAGTTAAAGGCTGGTGTCCATGCCAGAGTTCTGGTCACACGTCTGATTCCATGTTGACGGTTCATGGAAGTGACCACTGGTTTTCCTAACAGAAACCTTCCTATTCAAGTTCAATAGTAACTATGGGCATATCTTTGCCAGTTTTAAAGATATAAAGATACAAAAACTTGCAAGTGCTGTTCATCATAAAAGGTACGTCAGAGGTCAATTTCAAGGTCCCAGTTAGATTACCAGTACATGTATATCACTTCCTGCTAATTTTGGAGTATTTCACCTCTTATTTTCACCACTGAATATTGCGATGTTGTATCTTTTGATATAGTGCAACGCCTAAACCGTATCAAAAACAAGAAAATGGACACCACCTTCTGTATTGCGCTTGACAAGTTCTACAAAATGAAAAAACAAATTGTCTTTAGCATTTACAGTTCCAGAATTAGAGAGAGTTTTCAGTTTTGGTATCTGATGGCTGCTTCTCCCATGAAAATGCACCAATTGACCCCAAACTCTTACAGATGAAAGGAATCCCTAATTGTAGCCCCTCACTGTGATACGAGAGCTTAGGTCTATGTAGTTTACGAAAATTGGCAGAAACAAATATTTTGTGCCGATAATTCCCATTTTTAGACAATTTTAGCCCGTTTGGCCTTGAAATAAAGGTCAAAAGTCAAATCCAAGGGCATATTTGGGATCTCCACATATGACTTTCGATCAGACTTAAGTAGTAATTTTTCCCATAACTCCTTCGGTTTGGGAGATATTTAGCATTGAATTTTCAAAGATTTTGACAAGGGTGCGTTTCAAAGAGCGTCACGCCCAGGCCAATGCACCGACTGAGAAAAAAAAAACAACAAAAAAACAAGGGGTTAAATTAGAGAATATATGTGATCTAAATCCAAGAGATGGGGACACAGATCCTCGCAGTCTAGGAGGAGAAGCGGAAACGGTGAATTGTGTCACAGCAACCCGGCGGAGCCGCAGGAGCCGGTGTGACGGAACTGAGAGTCCGGTGTGATACAGAGTACAAGGCCTGATTTCTGAATCTGACAGTCTGCTTTGAAATACAGGGTCCCTACGGATCCTGAATAATCTTAATATAGAGTGTCCCCCGGACTTTCTGTTCTACCGGAAGTCCGATAATAAATGAGAATATAATGCATTTCTGTCATCTAGTTATGTTTTTTGTGTCTATACCGTAGGTTAAAAAAGTAAGCTTAAACTATTAAGCCGATGAATTTTTTGTTGGCTGGCACAGCGACCTTATGGACGAGTGGGACAGCGTCAGGCACTAATGTCCATTGTAACTAGAGTCCAGGTTGTCTTTGTGTTTCGTGTTCGGTCCCTGTACCTCCTTTATAATATTCTTATTTATTTATTTCGTTACCAGTGCAGTTTTACAATTTTCAATAATAAAACCATCACGTTTTTTCTTTAAATTACACTGGCAAAGGAACTAATGTTTATAATGGGAAAGTTAATTTTATCAATGTATGGTGAAAATGAAAACTTCTATGACACAGTGGATTGATGGTAATATCACAACAAAATACCCTTTACCCAAATGGAATAGGCAAATAAATGTAACTGAATTAAAACATGCCATCGAGCACGTGTATATATACCCCCGAGCACGCCGTTATCTTTCGCCTGAAGCCACAATGGGCATAGGAGCTGTTCGAAGATATCTACGAGGTGGAAGTTATCAAGCAGGCACCTTAACTAATGATAAATGTAGCATAAGAAAAGCTGCTGTAAATCATTTTAAGTAGGTTTCTGTATTCCATCTACCAACACTATACTACGTTCTGTTAGAAATAAGGGACTTTTTTATTAAAGCTGCAATAAGGCCGTATCTGTTGTTTGATATTAAATATATTGTACACATTTCATGAGATAAAGTTTGCATATGGTGTGGGAAGAATGGAGAAAAGTAG